TTCTCTATTTATGTGAGCAATTACAGAAATCAGTGGAAAGGCCCCAAAATACCTAGAGAAGCCTTCCTGACACTGCCTGCAGTGTGTTGATTAAACTAAAATATAAATTTGGGGTTCAGAGAGACCTGGGTTCAAATCCAAGCTCTGGCACTTTAATCCAACCTCTTTGAATCCCTTTTAATTAGGGAGATCAACTCATCCTGGTTTGCCCGGAGCTTTCCTGGTTTTAGGCCTAAAAGTGTCCCATCCAGGCCCTGAGTCAGTCTCAGGCAAACCAAGGCAGTCAGTCACCCTTCCGTTAACTCACATGCAACCTGGAGTTACCAGCAAAGGTCAGTGGTTCTTAGGCATCACCTGGAGGCCTTGAACAGGGATGGCTGGACCCTATGCACACTGCCTGATTTCAGAGGTCCGGGGTGAGGACTGAAGATTTGCCATGCCAGCGAGTTCCCAGGTGCTGCTTGGGGACCACAACTCGAGGACCATCTCAAGATACCGACCTCCCAGAGATGTGCCAAGAGTTGCACGAGCTCAGGCTTAGTGCAGTGATTAGAAAACCACAAAGCCTAACACTTGTTACAGCTGCTGTTAATGCTTTTAACATGGAAAAGATGGCCTTCAGCTGGCCTCCAAAGAGACGGTAGGACTGAAGCTCTCTGAGGTTTAGGTGAACATGAGCAGAAGCCCTGAGTGTATGTTAAGGAGAATGGCAAGAGGCCCAGGGGACTGGAAAGAGAGTCTGGGTAGAAACAGTAGATGATGTGGAAAAAGAAATAGATAAACTGGGGCAGGGGAGGTGGGCCACATCATGGGAGCCCTGAGACATCTAACACTCAAGAACATTTCTCCCTCTGAAAGTGGTTCCGCATAACTTCGAAATGAGAGGGGCGCTAACATCCTTAAGACAGACAAACTTTTAAGAGTTGGGAATAAACCCAGAAATGACTTGCTTCTTGGTTATTATGGATTTTGTTCTTATTTTTGTTAAGTGACAACAGTTTCTAGGAAACAGTCTTCAACACGTTGGCCCCCATGCCACTGTCGGTCCAACCATCTCTACAACTTGAGTGGGAGTGTGAGCCCCAGCCTAGTCCTGGCCTAGAACTAAGCATTTGTGACCCGTAGTCATTCCAGGAGTCCGGGCAGGGCAGATAAACTAGGTGAAGCCAGCGCCTGGTGCTCTTCTCCCACAGGCAGTGCTGTGGTTCTGACTCACTTTCTCCTCTGGCCCCTCCTCCAGCTGAAGCCTGTCCGTTGCCTGGAACATCTACAGTTTATTTAGCAGAAAGGGTTGGCTGGTAGAAATCCTGGGACCAAAGTGACCATGACCTTGTCCTACTGTCCCCTCCCCTAGCCCTTCCAGGACCTCCCACCCCTACAGAAACGCTGTCCACCCCTTTGGACCCAACTGGCCCGAGATCTTGGGTCAAGGCTAGACTCGTGGGAGGCTGTCTGGGGTCTGGAGACGCCCAGTGGGGTTGGAAGTCATCGGGTCTGGATTCCCAAGACATGAGTGTGACTGGTGTCCCAAGCAGCATATCCTATCAGTCCTGTGAGCATGTTTTTCTCATGAGCCAAATGCAAAACATCTACATCCTAGCATTGTGGTGAAGACCCAGTGAGATCAGGGATGGAAACACACTTTGTAAACTGTAAAGCGCTGTACCCTCTGTGGAAAGTGCCATAGAAAATGAGATGAGAGCAGAGCAAAGAAGTCAGACCTGCCTGGTTTTACCTCCCGGCTCCACCACTTATTGGCTGTTGGATCTTCAAGAAGAGGCTTAACCTCTCTGGGCCTGTTTCCTCATCAGAAAACGGAGCTACTGAAAAGTACCTCTCTCGTGGGTTCATCTCAAAGCTTAAATTAAATATTATGAAAATGCTTGGCATGAGCCCAGCACATAAGGTGTATTCAGTACACGTCAGCTACAATCATAATCATTAGGAAAAAGAAAACATATCTGCTTAAAGTTACAGTGCAGCTAAGGGTAGACTCAGGAGCCCCCCCCCCCGCCCCCCATGCCAACCAGGGGAGCTCCAGTTGAGACTATTCTGAATGACCAGGTTGTTTCTCTGTCTCAGACTCCCAGTCGTATATCACCTATTGACTGGGAATAATGACTGTACCTCACAGGGCTGTCATATGTGAAGGAAGAGAATCCTTTTGTAAGTGAAATCACTTTGTAGGCTGTCAAGCTGGTTTTATTTTGCGGGTGGGCGATGGTAATAGCGTAGTTTCGGGATCCTTTTCTGTACGAGGTCTGAGCTGTCTTCTGGACCTTCTCATAACCCCACCCCCCCACCCCCCATCTCCATCCTCACTGCACTCTCTCTCCTGGGACCCCTGGGGAGGGGATTGTTTGTAAGTAACAGGTCATGCTGACCAATCATCTTTTATAAACAACACACTTATGCCTGTCGAGCTTAGCTGCAAAAGACAAGGCAGGATAGTTGGCTTGGAATCGAATTTAGTGTCATTTCCAAACACCCCCAGCTCAGAAAGCAAACCCATAGATGGTCAGGAGGGCACGGGATGGTGTTAAATTATAGTTTTCAAACAAGGGAAAATCACGACGCTTGTGCCACTATAAAATGAAACTTAGCAAAAGGTTTTGTCAAGTCATTATGTAATGAAGGAACCCAAAGGATATTTAGACCAGTTTATAAAGTATTCAAGGAGCTAGGTGTTTACAGGCAGTTTGATGTTAGGTCAAGACTGATAGTTAGGTATATAACTAGTAAATGTCCTACAGGACAAGAAACTATAACCTCTGGGGTTATCTTTTTCAAAAGGACAAAAATTATTTGTATTTGTATCTCTACTAGACAAAAACCTACAAGTTAACAAGTAACTTCACGGAGTCAGAAGAGAACAAAGTAAATGTCTGTACATAATCCTTGCGGGGATGGGGGTCGGGGGGTGTCACATTGCCACCACATGACATGGAAGGATGTGCTGCCCGCACTTCTGCCTTACATCCAGGTTCGGGATTTTTTTAACAATGGTAAATACTTATTACATTGTACAAACAACCTTTCAATCTTACATGATGCTTACAACAGCCCTCTTGGGGCAAAAGGGGCAGGGAAACCCCATTTTCAGGGGAGGAAACTGAGTTACCCATGGAGAGGGAAACTGAACACCCGCCCTCCTCACTTCATCTCCACCCCACGTTACCCTCGGGGGCATTTTTCTCCTGTAAGACCTCCCTGGGGGTTCACCTGAAGATAAATGCTCCAGGGAGGGAGGAGGCCCCACTGCCCCCTTCCCTTTCCAGCCCAGGGGGCTCCTGGTCTCCTCTATGTCCTTTTAAGTCCCCAACATGCTTCAGTTCCTGAACATCAGATGAACCACATCCTCCTATCCTGAGCCAAAGCAAAGTATCCACACATTTTATCCTCTCCTCAGGAAAAAGGACAGAATGATGCTGCATTCCAAGAACCCATTTTTTTTTCAAGTGGTGGCTCCTTTTAAACTGTTCTATTCTCAGCTACTGTGCACCATCCTTCATCCGAGACAGAGTCCACATCAGAGAAACCTACTGTTTATAAACCAGAACATCTCATTTGAAACTCCCATTCTGGTTGAAGCTTTCCCCTCTGCAATAAACAGGCTCATCACGTTCTGTGTCGGGGAGAGTGGGGTCTGTCTGGCTCCTGGATGAACAGCAGGCTGTGGACAAATGGCTATTTATTGTGTTAAACAGTCCGCCAGGAAACTGGCGGCGAGTGTGGCCTGATGGCCCAAATCTGTTTCTTCCTTGCAAGGCCATTTCTTTTTCTCCCCCACGGACTTCTGTTGCCATGGAAACTGTCCCACGAGCAGGATGGAGACTAAGGCCAACCCTGCTTCCTGTACTTAGTCAGAGAGGCCACAATTATAATCACAAGACAAAGTAGGGAGTAAGAAAGTGGATGGGGTATGCATCAGAAAAATAGTTCCTCTGAAGTTCCCTAGAAGTCTGAAGCTGGGGGGAAAAAATTGAGAACATCTGATTCAGAGTGTGTTTACACAAGTATACTGACAATAGCAAACGCTCAGTGCATAATAAATGCATGCTAAGCCCTTTCTATGTGGCTGCCCATTTAACCCTCACAGTGACACCACAAGGCAGGGGGGTTTTATTGTCCCCATGACCCAGATGAAGAAAGAAACTCTGCAAGTCCAGTCACTTGCCCAAGTCCAGGGGCAGAAAGGGACCGAAGTGGGACTCAAACCCAGACCCTCTGACCCCAGAGCTTGGACCTCTTGACTTGTAACAGCTGCCTGCTCTGCACCTCTCTTCTCGCCTCCCTGGTAGGCGAGCACTTCGAATGGGCTGACCACCCAACATCCACTGTCCACCATTCCACTTGACCATGTCATCCTTCCTGCCTCGAGCCAGGAACCACTCTGTTGGCTTTTTTGGGGGGAGCAGGGTGGGGAAGCTAACCAGATTTATTTGTTCATTTATTGTTCATTTGTTTTTTTAATGGCAGTCCTGGGGATTGAACCCAGGACCTCATGCATGCTAAGCACGCACTCTACCACTGAGCTCTACCCACCCTTCAGCCATGAGCCACTTTGTAACATCCCACAGCATGAGGATTCCATGGAGCAGGATTTGGGCCACCCCGATCCGAGCTGGGCAAGGAACTGAGTCGCCATTAGCTGCACAGCTAACAAATGTCCGCGGTGGCACCGCAGGACCAGCCCCCTGCCCCAGAGGCTGGAGCTCGGCTGTGCTGGACTGCCTTCCAACACTGTTTCTAAATCAAACCCTGAGCCAGCACCCAACTCTCCCAGCCAAGCACCAGGGCTAATCCCCTTATAGGATGGCTGTTAAATCAACCACTCGGTAGAAGGACAACCATGCTCAGGCAGGCAGCGTGATCGGCCACATAGGAAATGCTCCCGCGTAGCTCTTGGGTCTCAGGCTTTGCCGACCCTGGGTCTGCCTAAAACAACCCAACGATGAAGCCCGCTTCCTAAACTGTATCCTCCCCCAAAATTTACTTACATATTAAGTACGAAAGGATCACTGTCTTTCAACTAGTAGAATCCAAGGTGTCCAGAACAAGAGGTGAGGTTTTCTATGCCAACTGCCTTAGGGAGTGCAGTTCCGCCTGTGAAGGAAAGTTCCCAGCTCAGACAAGGAGATCATTGTGAGCATCGTGTTGTTTTTCAATTTGAACATGAATCTAACACTGAATAGGCACCAATATGAACATGATTCCCTCCAAATACGTGCACCATGGCTCTTAGTCCCAAAGCTGGGGAGATAATACACATGATACAGACAGAACAGCACAGGGTGGGAGGACATGGTGTCAACAACGGTCACCAAGCGGGAGGTATGGAGCTGGGTACTATCGCAGGATGACTGGGGGTGCAGAATTATTGCTATTGTGAAGAGTAACTAACTTTCTTTCCTTCTTTGGATTTTAACACTAGCAATGAGGACAGCCTCACCACTTCTTTCTCCACTAAAAAACAGAGCCCCAAAGGGCGTGCTCAGACGGTGACACCCTACCCACCCAGCCCTTCTGTACTTTCTGCCCCTCCACACACTCCTCCTGCTGCTAGTACTCTGCTTCTCCTTTTCTGCCTGCTCACCCTGAGCAGCCCCAATCCCAAGTCACCTCCTCTGAGAAGCCTCCTCGGACTTCCCATCTGGGTTGATTAACACCTTTAGCTCTGTGCTCCTGAAGTGCATGTGCAAAATAATAGCAGCTACCATTTTTAGTGCCTAACGTGGTTGGGCACGTGATGTACATTATCTTTGTACCCATTTGACAGGTAAGGACACTGAGGCTCAGTTTGTCCAAGGCCAGGTGGCTGTTGAGTCATGAAGCTGGGTTTGGAATCCGGGTCTCTCTGGCTCCAAAGTCCACGTCTTTCTACTGCACAGTGGGCAGCTGATCTTTCCTCAAACTTAACCCTTCCCAGAGAGGAGATAAGTGTGTCTTTCTCCATCTCTCAGTAGACTGTGCATTCCTCTAGGACACCAGAGTCTTACTATGGATCCTGCACCTGGCATATAGCAGGTGCTAAATTAATGGTTAAATGAATCAACAGTTTGTTGAATGAGAAGCCTATCCCTTTACCTTACTCACTGATGGAGCTTTGCTTCTGATCAAATCATAGCACATGGTATACCAGTCCCAGGTCATTCCCTCACCCGTAGTGGAGAAGCAGGGAAATTTCTCAGCTCACATCCATATAATAACCCACTGCTTCTCCCGTTCTCATGTCGTATGACTCTCCTGGTAATTTTGTTGAAGTGCAGGTTCTGATTCAGGAGGGCTGAGACCCTCACAGGTGGGGCCCGAGGGTTTGTGTTTCCGACACACTTCTGGCAATACTGCTGGTGTGAAGATTCCATTCAAGAGCCATTTGGGTTGAAACACATCATCCAGCAGCAGCCAACGCACTTTGGGTTCCTCTGGCCAGTAACAAATAATAAAACCTATCTCGTGCGTTGTCCTCCTTCCAAAGGAAGACCAGACTTCAGATGTTCCTGATCGTCCATGTTTTAGCAAAATATTTAAGTTATGCTTTGAGCTCTCAGCATTTGGCAGCAGGAACATTTGTTGGTGCCTGTAGCTTTGGTTCAATCAGATCCTATCAATAAATCACAAATAAATGCAGGAGAGGCAACCCGCGCTGGAAGATTCCATTCCGGTGACAAGTGAATCAGGGGAGTAGGCGAGGGTAGGGGAAGGCGCAATGAGGCCCCTTTGCATTTTCACTGGGAAGGGCCCCACCCTTCCCCTCTTGCCTACCCCATGACCACTTTCCCGGCTGGTCTCCTCTGTTCCTGGTAAACAGTAAAGCGATGGCTTATTCATCGAGCCCTTTGAACCCCACACAATCGCTTTGCTGGTATGCCAAGTCTTGAGAGGTCAAGCATCCCCGGTCCAAGACGTTTGGAAGAAAAACACCCTCTTTTCTGTCTCCTTTTCCAGATGTCCCTGGGCCAGCAACAGTCAGCAAGAGGTGTGCCTTGTCTGCGATGCAAAGGGACGTGTTCGGGCTTCGAGCCACATTCGTGGAGGTAACGGAGTTTGTCAGGAGAGGCTCTGCCTGCCTTCATTTCTTGGCTGTCCTTTCTGGGAACCCTGGTGGTTCTCTCTGGGACTGCTTAGGATGCATGCGTTGTCAGTGGACTGGCTCTGGAGTGAATGCACTCTTGCTTGGCTTAATTCAGAAATGACAGAGAAGCCCGTGGGGAGCCAAAAGAGTTAGTGCTTTATAAGCCACTTCCAGGTGGAGGCTGCCATGCTCAGCCCAGCAAGGATGCTCTGGGAAGGGGCGGGCCGTTGTTACCTGGTACCTGGTCCACTCTGGGTAGACCTGCCTGTCCTGGGCTTGATCTCGTCCTACTGTGCCCTCACCCCACCAGGGTTCTGATCTAAGAGTGCCTTGGGGACAGAAATAAAATTCACTGTGCCCACAGTACTGAAAATCCAGGACCTGGTAGTCATATCCATGTGGGAGGACTGTAAGATCCAGCTGAACTTGGATTTGCAGAGCTTTTTTTTTTCTTTTTCCCTTGAGGACTATGGAAACAAGAGGTAGAGCTGCCACACTGCACCACCCCGGGCACCATTCACATCAGCATCTTGTGGATGGCACCCCCTGGAGGTGTGCAGGGCACAGCCTGTGTGACGTCCCTGCAGCCCTGGGAGAGAGAGAGGCTCTGTATGGCACTAGAGCTAGAAAGGAGCTTCTGTCTCCACTGTCAGAGCGTTGCCTTGGGCGCTTAGCATGGGGACAAAACTGGGGCGATATTTAACTCAGAGAAGTTGCCTTCCACTATGAAACGGAAATTACAAAACTATTTATTGAGCTGAGCTAAAGCATTTAAAAAAAAAAAGCTCTCATATTTAAATACTGAAATAACCCTAGGTAGGAGGTATGAGTATCTCCATTTTACAGAGCAGGAAACTGAGGGTGGGAAATGGGTGAACAGCTACTAGGTGGCAGAATTTGAACTCAGGTCTGCGTGAAGCCCCATCCTGTGCCCTAAACCACTCCACAGCACTGTGGACCACGCCCAAGACCGTTCTGTGACTCTATTCCCTGCCAGTCCCCATCTCGGAGGAGCTCACAGCGTCTTCTGGATTCAAGGGACCTTCAAGGTCATCCAATCCCTACGCCCGTCCCTTGCACAAATTCCTCCCACGGCTAAAACACTCCCAGGATGAAGAACTCCCCACGCATCTCTTTTGGCCAGTTGCGCGCTTCCTGGCCTTGAGAAGAGTCAGCTTCCCTATCACTCCAGCCCAGTGGCCCTGAATCTGCTGTCAGGGCATCACAGAACAGTGCTGGCTTCGCGCCAGCTTTTGAAAGCCAAGCGGGGACGCCTCCTTTTAGAGGCCCTGGGGCTGGGGGATAATGTGCCCTAGAAGCACGCACCGGGTGGGTTCAATACCGTATCTCTTCTCTCGGGGATCACAGTCCCGCACTGCCTGTTGTATAGTGTCTGAAAATGGTTGGTTAATACATTTTGTCTGTTTTCTTAGTGGTTTATGGCAGGAAGGCAATTCTGGACACTGCTCCTCCTGGCAGGGAGGGGAAGCCTCTCTGCGTTGTCCTAGTCCTGACATATCCTCATCATCCTGCAAATTATCTGAACACCCAGTGACCCTGTTCTTGAGAAATACAGACAGCAGCTTGTAGGGCCCGCATAGCCAGTGTCACCTAGGAGCAGCCTTCACCGGGACCTAAACTTAAGCCACATCCCAGCAGTGAGGGCTCAGAGTCGTAGCGGGGAAACCATGTCGAACCATTTTTACGCTCCAGTTCTCACACTCTCAATAGTTTGAAAGATGTTTAAACGATCAAAGCGGCAGCCAGTCTGGCTTCATGGGAAAGTTTCCTAACTGGTAAGCACAGAGCAGCATTCACAGGTTGACTCTGCTCGAATAAGACGCTTCCTTTCTCTCGGCCTCAGATTTTCCCATCTTGAAAAATGGGAACGTAGGAACCGCTGGGACCTCAGGTCCCTTCCCGGCTTTACAGTTTTATAGTTTCAGGCAAATTGTCTGTAATCACATTAACGATTCACGTGGCTGGTAGATTTAGAATGGTCTTCATATTGGTAGACAGAATAGTAGAATTACTTAAAGAGGAGGGTACAGAGTGAAGACAAGAGCAGACTTTTCAAACAAATATGTCATGAAAATGTTTCCCCGCAGCCTTCAGCATCCAGTTTCCAAATGGCCAGGCTGGACTCTCTGCCTGCCTGGACCAACCTCATGGACTGCTGAACTGCCATTCAAGGCAGAGGGACGCAGGCCCCCAGAACTCCAAGCTTTTCAGAAGGAGCCCAAAGAAAGGGTTCTTCCTTGCGTGCAGAGATTTTTTTTAATCATCATCATCGTCATTATTCTAATAGCTTTATTTTTTTTAAATGTCCACCAACTTCAGTGAGTAGAGGAAAGAAACCTGATCTGAGGGAAGAAGGGGACCTAATATGAAAAATGGAAACGAGGCCACTGGCTCTGCAAATTAATAAAAATTTTACATTCTTCAGGGGTTGCTCTTGACAGATCCTCTCAATCTCCTCATTGTGGCGCCCTTGCACGAGGTCCTATCTCCCCACCAGCCTCAGCAGCTGCCCTGGGAACGGTGGTGTTAGCTCCACCTCTTCTCCCCAGGGCTGGGGATTTCGTAGGTTACTCCGCAGTAATACAATAGCTGGGCTTCCTGGGCTGTTCCAGGGACAGAAAGTCAACCTGAGCTGCTTAAGTTCCTGAAAGGGACCGACGGTGCCTCTCACACTCCGGTGTGCAACAGAATCTCCTCTGGAACAGGATCACTAGCATCCATGCCCGGATCCCACTCTGGACCAGTGAAACTAACCAGCTGGGGCCAGGGGCTGTGGGGGTGGACCTCCAAGTTAACACAGCTCCCCAAATTTGGGTGTGAAGCAAAGCTTGGAAACTCACCAACCAGACCAGGGGCCAGTAAACTTTCCGTAAAGGGCCAGAGAGTAATTGTTTTAGGCTTCGCAAGTCACATGGCCCCTCTCACAGCTATTCAGCTGGGCCCTTACAGCACGAAGCATCCCCAGGCAATACGTAAATGAATGAATGTGACTGTGTTCCAGTAAATCTTTACTGAGGGACACTGAAACTCAAATTTCTCATCATTTTCACATGTCTCAAAATAGTAACCTTCTTTTGAATTTTTTTCAACCATTTAAAAATGTAAAACTCTTCCTAGTTCACAGGCCATGCATAAATAGGAGATGGGCTGGATTCTGCCCATGGGCTGTCATTTGCCAACCCCTGATGGAACCACCCGTTTCATTTCATGATAAGAAACTTGACAGGGGCCTGTGGTGGGCTAGTGTTCAGGCTGGGATTAGATTCCAAGGCTGTGCCTTTTCCATAACTTCAGGTTGCCTCTGACAGATTACAGAAATGGCCACTGTGACACCGCTGAGGATCTTTCTAGAGGCATCTGTGTCCTCTGCAATCTGGGTGCCTGGAAAGAGTGGGGTGGGGCCAGAGGGGTGACTTCCTCATCTATGAAGTCCTGGAATAAAGGAGAGAGCTGGATAAAGGAGAGAACATCTCCTATTTGTCATCATTTTCCATTTCGAAGTATGAGGCATTCCCAGCAGCTCTAATACCATACTGAGTGTCTCCATGAACCAAAAAAGCCAAGGGCAGCTTCCTCCCCGAGTCCCAAGTATGGAAGGTTTGGGACATCAGAGGACTCCTTCCTCTTCCTCCCCCTTTCACTTCCTGCTCTGCTGCTGCCCCCCCGCCCCGCCACCTCTCCTGGAAGCCAGTGGTGCCCTCACCTGTCTTCTTAGGGAAGCACCTGCCTCCATGCCTGGCTCATAAAAGGGAGCTGAAGGAGGATAGGATCGGTCATGAATAAAATGCCCCAATTCCACAAAGCAAGCAACCCCTTCTTATGAGAACAAAAGAAAATCACCTTGCATTTGCCTTGTGCCATCTTTAGGCTCGTATCATCTTTAGAGATAACTTCTCTGGACTTATCATTGAGATTGTCCATTTGAACATGTCTCAAACACCACTGAATGTGAGCTTGGACCCTAAGCTTCTCTGCCAAGAATGCCAGAAATGCCGCCTTCTCTCCCCCTTAACGTCAAACGCCATGTCAGTGCATTAAAAACAAGCAGCCGCCTTGCCCTGAAGAAATGTGTTTCACCTTCTGTCACCCCATTTTCCAAATGCATCGCCGCTGAGCCCTTTCCTACGTGCCGCACACTATCATCCTGGGGGCATCAGCCCAGACAGCGGAACCACCCCAGGGCATGTGCAACTCTCATGTGGTCCAACCTGATTTTCTTATGTTATAGTTTCCACCTGACTTTTCTCTCCCTCTCCCACCCCAACTGCAGTCTCCTTGAAGGTTGTGACCCTTCTTTTCGTATTAGACTAGGGTTTCCCAGCCTCAGCACTACTGACATTTGGGGCTGGGTAATTGCTGTCTGTGGAGGAGCTGTCCTGCGTATTGTAGGATGTTTAGCAGCATCCCTGGCCTCCTCCCTCCAGAAGCCAGTAGCGCCCAGCTGGGACAATCAAAAGTGTCTCCAGACATTGCCAAACGCCCCTGGGGGAGAGTTCTGACGTTGATTGGGAACCACTGATCGGGACCACCAAGGCACGCCTCCGGTCGCCCCACAATCAATATTTGCGCTAAATGATTAAATGCATCAATCTCCTGAGTTTAGACGAGGAAAGGGGGCTTCCTGCCAGCAGGCATGCAACGGCCCGGCACCGCTCCCACTTAAACCTGCCCCGAAGCGCGGTAGGTCTTGTCGTTGCTTACTTGACCTGACCAGCTCTAAATCCCCTGCGCTGGAGCATCTGAGACACAGCATGCCTGAGGGGACACGGCTAGGAAGGGAGGGGAACTCTCTGGGTGTCTAAACCTTAACAGCAAGACACAGAGCAGCCATACGCTTTTGTTTTTCATTGTCAGAGAGAAGCAGCAGGCTCTCAAATGAATGGAAACCTGCCCCTTGATGATTTTCCTTCTCCTAGTCTCGCAACAAATCTTGCCAGCAGACATCCATCTCTCCAGCCCGAGGGGTTTTCTAAGCTCATTTCCTGCCCCCTAGGTCCTGTCCCCCAGCTTCTTGAAGAAAATTTCCAGCTGCATTCTAACTTCAGGATGAGTGCTCAAGAGTTTATAAGCTGCTGAAACTTGGAGGCCCAGGACTCCTGGGAGACAATTTCAATCACTGGTTAGAGGGGGAGGGTATAGCTCGGTCGTAGAGCGCATGCTCAGCATGCACAAGGTCCTGGGCTCAATCCCCAGTACCTCCATTAAAAATAAATGAGGCTACTTACCTCCCCCAACAAAATAATAAATAAATAATCATTTAGAAGAGGGATGAGCAGACTTCCTTTGTAAAGGGCCAGACAGTAGATATTTCAGGCTCTGTGGGTCACATGGTCTGTGTCACAATTACTCTGCGGTTGCCACCCAAACGCATCCACTGACAATGTGTAAATGAATGGGCATGGCTGTGTTCCAATGAAACTTTATTTACAGAAGCAAGTGGTGGGCCTGTTCTGCCCACAGCGAAGACTGTCTGTAGACCATCTCTAATGATGAACCAGCTCTTTTTATCAGCCAAAGTCATACCCATGTTCCCCACAGGTAGACTTGAGTTTCCAATGCCAAAAGCCTTTTGGTCTCAGGTTATCATCTGTCTGCAGCTAACCTTTCCGAGTTACTAAAGTCAAACTCAGCTTGCTTTCCAAAGCAATAGATGCTGCCGGCGGGAGACTCTGCCTCTCTTTTCTGGATGTTGATCTCACTTGTCTTTACCCCACCTCCCCCCACCCAGGAAAATATGCAAATCGTGCAAATGCAGCCAAGAGGACCACTTTGTGAGCTCTGACCTGGAAGATGATCGGAAAATTGGCCGCTTGCTGATGGACTCTAAGTATTCCACCCTCACGGCCCGGGTGAAAGGCGGGGACGGCATTCGGATTTACAAGAGGAACCGGATGATCATGACTAATCCCATTGCCACCGGGAAAGATCCCACCTTTGACACCATCACCTATGAGTGGGCACCCCCAGGAGTCACCCAGAAACTGGTAAGAGCCCTTCCTCCAAACAAGGGGTTGTTTTCCTATCTTTGTAAATAGCAGCCATGCCATGGGTTCCTGAATGTCAAAGACAAGGTAAGAAGAGGGCAAAAATGGTAGGACTAGCTATGTTTTTGAACCTGCTCCTGCCTCACTGTGTGATCTTGAAGTGAAAACTGTCTGGGTCTCAGTTTTCCACATCCATGAAATGGGTAGAGGTGTTCATGTGAGTTTTAAGGGCCCTTCCAGCTCTAGCACAGGGTTGTTTGCAGTTAGTTCCCTTTGGGCTCCCCACTTCTGAAAAGACGATGGTTTATCCTTCTGAGCTCCCAGGGTACTTGTCTTCATCTCTAAGTTGTTCATTTTCCCTCAGAGTGCCCTTTGCAAGCCTAGGGGAGAGCGCAGGAACAGTCTTCTCTTCACCCTAACTCTCGGGTTTAGGAGGGACAAGCAAACTGGCTTTACACAACCCAAGGGAAGAGGCATCCAGAGAAGGACAGCCCACAGAGCGCAAGTGACCTGCACAAGGTCACCCCCTGGCTGCCCAATGAAAAGGACGCATGAAAAGTCCCCCTGCAAAGCCTCGCCCCAGACCATTCAATCAGAAGCCCAGACCGCAGGATCAGAATGACCAGACACGAGTACTGAAGGGAACCTGCAGGTGATAGCACGTGCAGCCACCTTGGAGACCCAGCGCACCAGATCGTGCCCCTCAAATTTCCACAAGCATATGCATCACTTGGAGAGCTTGCAGAAACACATCCAGGATACTTGGGGCTGGTCCTGAGAGTCTGCAAGCCTGACAGGCTCCCAGGTGATGTGGATGTGGCTGGCCCTGGACCACAGCTGGAGTAGCGAGGGCCTAGATGATTTCTACAAGTTAACAAAATTAAAAGGCCCTCCAGTTTTAGAGAAGCAAGCCTGGCATTGAATTCAACCTCTTCTGGGAGAAAAAGGGAGTCCTGCGTGGCCCCATCCCTGCAGGCTCCTCCCACAATTCGTGCTGTGCCCCCTCTCTCCGTACCTGTCAGGGCCCTGACCTTCCGCCTTTCTGCCCAGGACCACTCTAGGCTCTTGCCCTCCTCAGGGACTTTGTACACGCTGTTCCCTCTACTTGAAACATCCTTACTCCGCACTTTGCATGGCTGGGACCTTCTGTCAGTCAGGCCCAGGCCTGCCCTAACCACCCAACCTGCGCTAGATGTCACCCATCCCCCTACTACATTTTTTTCTCTCAATTCTCCATTGTTTTTCTAGAAGCTTTGCTTTCAAGCTGTAATTGTCTCTTGCCCGTGTCTGCTTCAACACCCTCTCTCAGAGGGGAGCAAGGCCCAGGGGAGCACGCTCCATGCCTGTCCTGGGCATCACCCGGCCCAGCACCTCGTGCCGCGCAGAGTGTGCAGCCAGCTTAATGGGTGTTTGTGCCGTGTCACCTCCCAGCCAGTGACACTTAGGTGTGGTCTGTGGACTGGCATGGCTCCCCAAAACCCTTGTGACTGGTCCACAACCAGGAGCACAGGAACTGAGAATAAATGTTGGGAAATTGTGGAGGTCCAGCAGTGGACACCCAAGGGTGGGATCCAAGCAGTCCTCGGGGGAGCAGAGTCCCCATGTGGTCAGCCCCCCATGGAAGTCACGGGTGGCATGAGCTACGTTCTCATCACAGGCAGGGAGCCCACAGATCGTCCCTCAGTTGGTGGCCATCCTTCACCGTGGAGGGTTCGAGCCAGCCCGGTGCTAAGCTGCAGCTTCAGAGGGGAACATACCCCACCTAGATCAAGCGAAGAGAAACAGATTTTCTCTTCAAGTTTTGCTTTCTGAGAAGCATATTTTATAAGAACACTTCTGCATTCATGAGCTCAGCCACCCTGTGAGGGAGGGGTGATTTTACATGTAAGGAAACAGAACATTTCATTGGCCTTCCTGAGGGTGGGCGGGGCCAGGTCCAGGGCCTCGGAGGGTGGAGTGGTGGCCACCAGCAGTACCAGGTGGTTCCGAACACGGGTCTGGGTCAGCGGTCAGTGGGTCGCCAAGATGTCCGTGGAAACTAAAGCAGCTCATCAAAGAGCCGGCTGTGGGCGTCAGGCACTGGCTGGTGAAAACCCCAAACTCTTTGGCCCTAGACTAATCAGAGGAAGGTACCATCAGGCCATGATTAATGCTGGCTCATAAAACCACATGGGATAAAGGACTCTGTGTCTGGCTGGCATCTGGCCCGCCCCGGGAAGTCGCATTTCTGAGATTGGACGTCTCCCTTCCTACTCACACTTCTGACTTTTTTTTTTTTTAATTACCAAGTGATCAGGACTGATGATACTTTGGAGAGGGGCAAGGCCTGAATCTTGCTCACTGTCATCCTTCCCAACCAGAATGAAAACCAGAGAAGTGCTTAAGCCTTTTAAGACTTGTCCCAATAAACCTCATTGCTAACATTTACTGGGTACTTACTATGAGCCAGGCACTGTCCCAAGAGCAGTATGTGCACAATCTTATCTAATTTTCCAACACGGTTTGGGCTGTACTGTTATGACCCTCATCTATAGAAGGAGAAACTGAGGCTCAGAGAGGGGACGCAGCTAGCCAGATGTCCCACAGCTGACTTCAATGTCAGGACCAGGTGATGAACTGAGACATCCGTGACTCCCAAGCTGCCCAGCCAGGCCAGCTAGCCAGGCAGGTGGGAGGGCAGGGCAACTGTGTGGCTTAGCATTTTTAGGGAAGTCTTCCAAGAACAGGGAGGGGCTTGAATGAGTCTTTGAAAGTGAGCCAGGATTTGAGGGAGCCAAGATGGAGAAGATGAAGGGAACCAGCATCCTTTGAGCACCTGTATACAGTATCTCATTAAGACCTCACCACACGCCATGTGCTCCCATTTTACCGGGCAGCAAACAGAGGCTTGTGGGGATCCTCTGCAGGGGTGGCAATCACTCATCCCTCATCCTCTACTCCTGTGTCCATGGGAGACACTGCTGATCAGTCACAGCTCCGTTTCCCAGTGAGCCCACATTGGGCCTCAGAATCCTTCTCAACACAGCACTCTAAGCCACCATGATTAACCAGGATTAATAAGGAATGTGAAACCCATTTGTTGTCCTTGTCTGACAGCTGGAGAAGAATCAGAAAGCGCAGAATCAGGGCTGGGTCTCCTGATTCCAGAGCCCCCATGTGTCCTACTGCCCAGCCTTGGGGGAGAAAGCACCTTTCTCTCTGCTCTTTTGATTTCTCTCCTGAGAAAGCCTGATTCTGGGAACTCATCACCCAAGATGTCTCAATCAGCCAACAAAGCACCAAATTATTTGGAAAGGTCCTCATAAAAAACTTAAAACCTAAACCAATCTTTCCAGCTGGTCCCAGGAAAGAGGCTTCTTGCTAAATGTTTTGAGAACATGACTTCAGTCAGCTTCCTGGAGCGACATCTGGGAGATTCTTACAGGCTCTGAGCGGCTCAGGCAGCAGATTCTGACCTAACCCTCTCTCTCCATCAGCCCCTTCCCAAGTCCATGCCAGTCGATAGTGACTGTTTGAGGTGAGTTCTGAGACCCTCCTCAGGGTTGATTAGTAACGTCTGCCATCACCGTGTGACTAGGGAGTGGAGGCAGGAGTCTCAGGCCAACCATCACAGAACACATGTCCGTGGAAGCTGGATGCTGAGGCCTTGCCCAGGCAAAGGCAGAGAGCCGTACCCAGCTGGGGCTTTGTGCTGCAATAGGACCAGTGGGCTGCTATCTCCAGGGCCCCAGCCAGGAACCCATACAGGAACCCAGCCAGGACACCAGCAGCCAGGACAGAGCCGTGCAAGGACACTGTGAGTGCAGGCTCAGCAAGATGCTGGCTGGCGAGGCCACCGCACAGGACCACAGGGTTTATCTGTAAAGCCGAATGGGGAGGTGTGCAGGCTTTAGAAGACGAGGGGCACACACCGATCCACCCTGGCATCAAGCAATGCTTCCACGGCCCCCTCACCCTGAAACCATGACAAAAGGAAACTCCCCCAGAGTTCAAGGGACATTTTTTCTCTTTGCAAATCCTCCTAGTGAGGCAGGATAGAAGGGTTTGAGACTCAAGCTGCTGAGTTCAAAGCGGTCTCTGCCACATACTGGCTGTGTGACCTTCAGGAAGTTACTTGACCTATCTGTGCCTCGGTTTCCCAAGGGATAATATTAGTACCTTCCTCGTAGGAGTGCTACAAGAATGAAATGGGTTCCCACAGTCAGGCACTAGAAGAGGATCACAGTAAGCAGCATGTAGGTGTTCTCTGTCCCTACCATCCCTCAAACCACCCACCCTGGGGGAGAAGGCAGCCTTCCTAGAAGTTGCTGTACCCAGAGCCAACTCAGCTGTGCGACTGGGGCTGCTTCAGCACCTGGAGTGCGTGAGAGGTTGGCCAGGTCTGGATAACCATTCTGGCAGTGTGAGCAAAGCTCTAGTCTTCACTTCTCCAAAATCCTTCCCGAGATCCGAGGAGCAGGGCAGGCCGCAGGCAAGACATAGGAAGGGCTGGTGGGGGTATTTCTCTGCCCCATACCTGCTGTCCCCTAACCCATCTCCCGGGGGCCTGGGCCCCACCCCAGCCTGGTGGCTTTTGGGCTGCTGCTTCCCCGTCCTCTGATGGTCACATCCCTTTCCCCACCCACTGTCCTTGGATGTCCTGCTTTGGACTCACCCAGGAGAACTTGGACAAGCGCTCACTTCCTGGCCCCTCCAGGATCCCCAATCAGAGTGGGCCTGGGAAGCTTTTTCATAAGGTTGCCGAGTGATTCTTAAGCCCCCCATGTTTGAGATGAGGTTCTTCAGATCTACCTGCCTGGCCTGTTCGTGCTGGAGGCCACCTGCCATTTCATACTGATCGAGAGAAAAACCACAGTCGCCCTGGGCTTCCCAAGACAGAGTCAGGAACCAGCCCCTCCCCGACATGTCATCAGCTGGGGGCTCCCTGGGGCTCCTGGTTCTTCCAAGTGTTGGGTGAAGGGCTGGACCTCCTGGCCACCCAGCACCCCAGCTCCTCTGGCCCCTTTCCTGGGCTGCGGAGCCACTTAGTGTTGCTGCTCCCCTGTGATGAGGGTCGCGTGAGGTCACCCAGATGTCTCATGATGGTGCCATCTACCCTGAACTTCACAGATGAGGAAACCAAGGCCCAGCAGGACTGAGTGCTCTCTGGGTCTTACTCAGAGAGTAGCAGCAGGGCTGGAGCTAGAAACCCAAATTTCCGCACCCCAGGACTCTGGGCAACACCCGGGCCATCTTCTGTGTCTGGAAAAGCTCCTTGAAAGTGAACAGGGACCAAGAGGGCGTGCGTGAGCCCACAGTGCCAAGAGAGCTCAGCCAGGTCCCCGGGGATCTAGGGCTGAGCCTCTGGGGGATGCACAGCCCCCCTCAATTTCAGTCCCACCGGAACCAAGGTCACCTGCCTCTCCCTGTTCTAGAAAGGCTTTTATCCAGGATTCATTTATCATTAAACTCAGCAAACCACAGTCTCTGGACCAGCAGACCCCTCCGCCAGGCCTTCACCCCCTGCTCCCAACAATAGGGCTGCAGCTGAGACTGTCCATTACGAACTGCACTTTCCACGTCGATTAACACAACTCCCGTGTGAGTCCACCCCCAAGGATGCACTAGAGGGCAAGCAGGTTCTCAGCGGGTAACCTGGCTGCAGCCACCTGGGTGTGGGAATCAGGCCACCCACTGGGGTCAGGGTCAGGTTCAGGGTCGGGGTCAGAGGTGGAGAACAACAATCAAGGATAAACAATTTGCCTTTCACCGTTTCTCAGGCTGTGTGGCCTGGCCTCTCCCCAGAATCTCCCCATCCCTGGGACCCACCCAGGTGGAAGATTTCTGCTCCTTAAAAAAAAGCAAACAAAACAAAAGGCCAGTTGGACAGTGATCCACAGACATGTTCATATTCAGATGGTCTATCGTCCATTCTAGCCTGCCTGTGTGGAAACATTATTGACCTGAGACCTTGTTGATTCTACTATCAGAAGGTGCTTTGAATATTTTTATTCATAAACCATGAAATACCACATGCCTATAACAATTTAATTATACTTTGCTAAGAAAGGCGATTTTCAACTAGATTGACTTTTTTTTAAAAGAGAAACATTGCCAAGAGGTAAATGAGGTAAAGATACTGAGTTTTGAAGGAAACGAAATCCATGTTGTAAAGCCAGCAAATCTCAAAACAAAGGTCTACTAAAATGAGCTCACTCTCACCAAGAATATGAATCTGTGACCACAACCCGGGGGAGAGTGGAAGCTGATTTAGGTCTCTCTTAGGTGTGACCAAATTTCACTCCATTCCTTCCTTGAGGATGCTTGGGTCCTGCAAAACCTGAAGACCTAGACACTGCCCACCGAGCCCAGGGCTCGCCAGGGCTCGGCTCTCGGCCTGGGTGCTGGGGAATCACGGGTGCTCTGTCTCCCCCTCCCCAGGGCCTGCAGTACATGGAGCTGATCCCCAAGGAGAAGCAGCCGGTGACCGGCACCGAGGGCGCCTACTACCGCCGGCGCCAGCTCACGCGCCAGCTCCCCATCTACGACCAGGACCCCTCTCGCTGCCGCGGACTTTTGGAGAACGAGCTGAAAGTGATGGAGGAGTTTGTGAAGCAGTACAAGAGCGAGGCCCTGGGCGTGGGTGAAGTGGCCCTCCCCGGGCAGGGTGGCTTGCCCAAGGAGGAGGGGAAACAGCAGGACAAGCCCGAGGGCGCAGAGACCACTGCCCCCACCACCAACGGCAACATCGGCGACCCGTCCAAGGAATACGTGAGTCTCTCCCGCTCATCTGTCCATCCATCCATCCATGCCGGGGGCCACAGCTCCAGGCACTGTTCCCTCATTCCTGCATTCATTCCCACGGGGGACCCTCCAGGGGAGAGCTGGTGCTCCTGGAGTCTATGCCAGGCACCATCCCGTGAAAAGTAAGACAAGGTCCCCGCCCTGGAGAGGCTCATGGTCCAGTGGGGGTCACAGACAACCAAAGGGATGCAGCTCCCAGAAAGGGCATCTGACCTTGCTTGGGGGAGAGGGGAGGCCGTGCCGGCCTTGGAAGAATAAGTAGGAGTCACCCAGGTCTTCGGGCATTTCCGCGAAAACCTGTGTTGCCTTAAAGAGGGGAGCATGAGCCAAAAAAAAAGGAGAAAGTTCCAGAGAGCACAGCACAGAGGATGGAGTGAAGTCCCATGTGAATGAAAGCGTGGTGTGCGTGTGTTGGAGACGGGGGTGGCGGGACGAGGCTGGTGAGGTCAGCAGGGGCACGTCTCCTGAAGAGTCCTGCCCTCCGGCCACTCATCACTCAGGCACTGACTAGCCCGGACTGTCTGCTGAGCCCCGGGAAATCAAACAAGCAGAGGACACTGTCCTCGTGTTGGAGTGCCACGGACTTAGGACTTTCCACTGCGGGCCGTGGGGAGCAGTGGCAGGCTTTCTGCGGGAGGTATCACAGGATGCGGGATGGGCTTCCCCAGGAGG